TATGCCTTTATACAAATTTCTGCAATCCTCATGCATGCTGGCACTCTAGTAAACTTCAAAAAACCTTGATCACATAATATAGTAATAATTTTCATGATCCTTTTGTAAAATATTTTAGTGGTAACAATTAAGTTAAAAAATCTACAACTAGCATCTACATAAATGAAGAACTGAGAAACACTTAATATCAAACTTGAATTTGCTGTAGATTAACCTGCCATTAGATAAAGGTGACATGCTACAATTTTTAACAAATATTAAGGAATTAACTGGTACATACAATATCCAAATCAAAGTATATAGTAATGAAGGTAATTACTTCATATCAATAATGCAAGTTTCACACTTAGAGTGACATAAATCACCCTTAAGTCACAAGTGAAAACTTGAATCTAATGTGAAAAGACAAGAGAATATAATATCAAATGCCAATTATGTAAATAAAATACAGGGGAAAAATTCACAGAAACAATCTGCTAATTAGATACGCAGAAAAACGAGTATAACATCAGCAAACCTCATGAAAAATGCTGAATTCATATCAAGGAAATTTTCTTCGTACCCAAGATCCTGGGTAAAAAAAGAAAAAAAAAAGTCAAAGCTGCTAGACAAAGAACTATATATCACTTCAAACTTCACTTCAAGATACACGCGTTGGAGATATATGTCCACTAACCAACACAATCCACAGCTCCCGTCACCCGGAGACACGAAATAGCGAATTGACAAGTTCTCTAACTACTAAATAGGTCAAAAGAAAGCGAGTGAGAGTGGCTGTCCTGAGGCGATGACCACCCCCTCCCGCACACCTCCTCGGTTAACCCTTCTATCGCATTTACACCTGCTTCCTTCTATCAGCATTGGGTATCTCTAACCAAACTGTACACTAATCTATTACCGACTCACCTAAAAATGTCCAGAAAGTACGGGAAAAGGTGTTAATTAACTTCACATGGTGTCAGCGTGCACCTGCTCCCCGTGTGCAAGGTGTAAACAAAAGTTGAAATGCGGGTCAGCCAATGAGAGAGGAGGATCGCTATGACGTCATTATCTTCCACCAATAACTGTAGGGTATGCATATGACGTCATAAGCGCTTCCCGTTTTCTTCGATGAATTAAATTACAGGTGTTCTGAATGGACATATAAACTGCTGTTATTGTTAAAAACTGCTGCTATAGCTACGCCTTTTTTCTCTTCCTCGATAATTACGGTATACGACATTAGCTATGCGGCTCAGCTCACTAGAGGAGAGAATATATACTGACCAGACTGTATTGTTCACGTGAAAATAAATTTACCATAGATGGAGGGCAAAGCAACGCTTAGGTATTTCCTGTGCGCGACTGGATTACCATATTTTGTCTCTCCTTTTAGTTCGAAACAGAAGTCCACGAATACGCAAACCAATATAGACTGAAAAAGGTATAATGCGTAAATCACGCACTTTACCAAGTGTTCTGTAAACACACATAGACGTTGAAGAAGCTGCAGTACCGTTTATATACAATGTAACACACAAACCAAGGCTTACCTGAACAGACAGATATATATATACATATATATATATATATATATATATATATATATATATATATATATATATATATATAGATAGATAGATAGATAGATACATAGCTACATATATATATATATATATATATATATATATATATATATATATATATATATATACACATATACATATATACACAAATAACATATAGACAGATAGAGAGAGAGAGAGATATAGTTATATATATATATTCATATATAAATATATATATACATACATACATAAGTATATCTTATGTATATATATATATATATATATATATATATATATATATATATATATATAACTATGAATGATACATATAATATATAGACAGATAGATAGGACTGATATAGCTAGATATAAATCTTCTTACACATATGTGTATATACACATATATATTTATATATGTGTATAAATAGATGTGTGCATGTATGTATATATATATTCAAATATGTATGTGTGTGTGTGTGTGTGTGTGTGTGTGTGTGTGTGTGTGTGTGTGTGTGTGCGTGTGTGTGTGTGTGTGTGTGTGTGTGTGTGTGTGTGTGTGTGTGTGTGTGTGTGTGTGTGTGTGTGTGTGTGTGTGTGTGTGTGTGTGTGTGTGTGTGTGTGTGTGTGTGTGTGTGAGGGTCACAAATCGGTCTGGAAACTAGACAAGGGAGGCGATAACTTGAATATCAGGTATTTCTACTCTTCAACCAGTATGGAAATCTGGTTTACGTCTCCATTTCCGTGTAGATATAGATATCTTATGTTCCAGAAATTCAATAATGTGAGTTTCTGAATAGCATATCCACGCGTAAATGGAAATAGGCTTGCTTTCAGATATGCGGTAAAAAGATCATTATTTAACTCGACATTGAAATTCCTTTAGTTTCGGTATGGTAACGAGAAGCATCGTTAATGCAAATTTTACTGGTTTAAACTATTCTTATACTTAACAT